TTTTTCTCTACTTCCAGATTTGACTGATTCTTCTGGATATCAAGGAAAGTTCATCATCATCTGAATCTTCTTCATATTCTTCCTTAGCTTAATAAGCCTTGGTCTTCCCAGAAGTAGACTTTAGAGCAACTGATTTTACCCTCTTCCGAGGTTCATCTTGATCAAGTTCTATCTCATGACTTCTTAAAGAACTAATAAGTTCCTCAAGACTCGTGTTATTCTGATCCTTTGCCAATTTTAAAGCAGTTACCAGTGGTCTCCATTTGACCGAAAAACTTCCGATAAGCTTCTTAACATGATCTGCTGTAGAGTAACTTTTATTCAGAACCTTAAGTCCTTCCACAAGATTCTGAAATCTTGAAAACATCATTTCTGCAGATTCGTCGTCTTCTATTTTGAAGGCTTCGTACTTTTGAATTAAGGCCAGAGCCTTTGTTTCCTTTATTTGTGCATTGCTTCATGTGTCATCTGAAGAGAATCAAATATAGACTTTGCAGTCTCTCTATCCATGATCTTCTCATATTCATTGTATGAAATAACACTTAGAAGAATAGTTATTACTTTGTAGTGATTTCTGCATAAATTCTTTTGTGCTTCCGTCATTGCACTTCTTGCAATCTTTTGACCTTTATCATCTACTTGGTGAGTGTAGCCATCAACTACCAAAACCCATAGATCCGAGTCATAAGCCATAAAGTAACTTTTGATTTTATCATTCCAATAGTAAAATTTCTCCCCATCAAACATAGGAGGTTTTGAACTATAGTGATCTCTATCATTATCCCTATTACCAACACTAGAAGTAGGTGTACCCATTAGTTTTTCACACACACTAGATCGGTACTGAACACTGGTAATTGTTCATAAAAATGCAAATTTTTTATCTCCTCAGAACCGGAGCTATGATGCAAATTGAAGGTGTGAAAAACACAAGAAATGGGGGGTTTGAATTGGGTTTTTAAATCAAAACTTTTCTTTTAAAAACATTCCCCTTTAACTAAAATACTTTTTCCTTCACTCTTGATGATAACAATAATTAAGAACAGGAGGTAAAGAACAATGTATGTTTATACTAGTTCACTTGAAAACTATCAAGCTAATCTAGTCCACCCGCCAAGGTGATTTCGCTTCTCTCAATCAAGGACTTAATCCACTATAACCAAATTGATTACAATTTGCACAAGCTATCCGCAAGTGACAGACAACCTCTAAGATACACAAGTCCTAGACTTCTTAAGGATACACACCTAACCAGTCCCTTAAAGAAAATTAAACAATAATCAAACTGATTATTACAATGCACAAGCTACCTGCAAGTGACTAACAACCTCTAGGACACAGTAGTCCTAGACTTCTTAAGGATACAAGCCTAACCGGTTCCTTAAGGAAATCAAACAACTTTTGAATACAAGTTTTGTTTACAATGATATTGCTTTTACACAAGTTGAATATGTAAACTATTTTAATAATAATTACTTAAGAATATGAAATCTATGAATAGCGCTTGTGCGTGAATATTCAGTGAATTGACAGCTTTCTCTCTTAGTCTTCAAGCCTTTATATAGCCAATAAATTAATATATCCATTGAGGGGTACTCTTGGAATTTCCAGAAACATTGGCAACATGAGCAATAACATGGGGGACAAGATCGTGCAACGCGTCCGTCCTTTCATGGTTGTGGAATGAAATGTTGATTGTACCATGCACTACTTGTACCATGTTAATGATATGTTCTTTCCTTATGCACTTCATAGGCTTCTGCGAGCATGAGTCTAGAAGCTATAACATAACACAAGGTCATCAGAACTTCATGTCTTCAGAGTCTTCAGAATTGCATCTTGAGAGTCTTTAGCACTTGGTGTTGCGAACCTTTTCTTAGAATCTTGGGTCTTTAGAAGTTCAAGTCTTTAGACTATGTAGAACTTCTGTCTTCAGAGTCTTAAACACTTGGTCTTTGGAACCCTTATATTTAGAACCTTGGGTCTTTAGAAACTCGAGTCTTTAGCATCTGGACTTAAGTAGAAACTTCTGTCTTTAGATCTTCTGACTATTTCATTAGAACCCGTTGTCTTCAGAAACATGAGTCTTCAGCATCTGGACTTAAGTAGCAACTTTTGTCTTTAGATCTTCTGACTTGTTTCTTTAGACAAACATCAGAGCCAACACTTCCGAGTCTTCTTGAGTGTCTTGCTACTATTCACCAGAGCTTGTGTATCACATAAGCGGGATTAATTCTCTTCTAATTTCTTGGCCACGCCATCCATATGAAGTAGAACCTGTTTGTTGAATACTCAAAACTGACAAACATTAGAGTATAAAATTTTTTCATACAAACATACTCATTTGTTATAATCAAAACTCAGAGATAATATTGCAGAACCAAATCTTGTTCTTACAGTTGTTGCATGTACACGGTTTCATCGAGATTGTTGTGCAAGAAGGCATTTTTAACATCTAATTGATGAAGATACCATGATTTTGATAAGGCAACACTGAGTAGTGTTTGAATGATCCATCTGAATTATTTTTATGCCTAAAAATCCACAAACATCGAATAATATTAGCATTAGACGGACAAGAAACAAAGTCCCACGTCTTATTTTCAATAAGAGCATAATATTTGTCTTTCATGGACATTTTCCAATTAGGTTCATGTAAGGAATCTATAAGGTTTGTAGGTAAGGGGGTATGGAATTTTGAGATGAAGTATGTAGGTTAAAAACCTTGTGAGGTTTGACTATTCCATGTTAGGCTCAGGTAGTTGTTTGAGGTGAGAATTATGGTAATAGTGGTGAAGGCAAAGGTGTGGGTGTGAATGTAGTAGACGAGGTTTGATGTTTATCGTGAATTGAAGAAGAATAAGATATATGTGTGAAGGAAGAGGTCGGTGGGGAGGGTTGGTTGGGAGAGGGAAAAGATGAAGGTGGGTTTGAAGGAAACACGTGGATTCATTATCTAAAAATATATAGTCAACCGTGTTAGGAGCATTTAAGGTAGAAAATGGAAACATATTTTATTCAAATATGACATGCCTAAAAATAAAGATCTTATGACTAGACAAATCATAACACTTATATCCTTTATGATTAGGTGGAAAACCTAAGAATACACATTATTTTGACCGAGGTTGTAATTTATTTCTACAGGCTGAGGGAGTTGAAGGATAACATAGACGCCCGAAGAATCGAAGATGTGAATAAGAAGAATCTTTTTGGTAGAGTATCTTAGTGGGAGAATGAAGGGCAAGCTTTTTGGTTGAGATGGTGTTATGTAAGTATGTTATCATTTGCAAGGCATGTTACCAAAAGGAGGGTGGGATAGAGGCATTGGCTAGAAGGATGCAAACGATGTTATTTATAGTATAAAATTTTCTTTTGGCTTTTCCATTTTAAGGGGAAGTACGGGGAGATGAAAATCTAAATGACATGTCATTGAGTTTAAATGATTTTTGAAAGAGAGAAATGTCATATTCTTTTCCATTATCACTTTGAAAAAATTTATTTCTCGTTCAAATTGGGTTTTAATGTGAGTGCAAAATTGAAGAAATATAGAATGAACTTGAGATTTCATCTAAAAATACGACATAATAACGGTGTCCTCCTAAACTAAGAACATGTGATGTCCAAACATCATAATGGACAAGATCAAAAGGTATTAAAGTATAGGATAAAGAATTAGAAAAAAAAGGCAATTTTATATTTTTCCTAAGTGGACAAAGAGTGATAAAATAAATTGTTCTGAAACTTATTACATGTAAGAAAATTGTTTTGGTGTAGAGAATTTAAGACATTCACTACATGGTATCCTAAATGGTTGTTCCATACTTCATTAGATAATGTAGAAAATGTAGATGGTGGTTGGGTTGTAGAGTAAGGTCGTGTGGTAATTTGGTAGAGGTCACTGGAGCTGTTACATATTATTAAATGCTTTCTATTTGAAAGTCCTTTCATAGAGAAACCAAATGGGTCAGATTCATCAGAATCATAATTATCAATGATATATTTTCTAACAGAGATGACATTTTTTACTAGTTTTGGAACATGTAATACATTGAATGAATTGAAAGAGTATGAAGAGGTAGGTAATGATGAATAGGCATCAGTTAGGCCTGAGATGAGTTGAAGAACCAGATGTTCGTAAGAGATAGGAGCCCCAACATTAGATAGTTTGTTGGAGAGGTATCTGAAATGCATACAGTAAGAGGATGCATCCAAGAATTGCTCCACATGAGTTCGTGAAAACTCTTGCTCTATGTAAATAGCACTAAATTTTTTGTTGTTATGGAATATGTCAAACAACTAATTCCAAGCAAGTTATGCAGTCGAGTCATGTTCAATAATGATATCGATAAGGTCATTAGAAATCGTGTCGTATATCCACTATAACACGATGACATCAAGGCGAAGTCAGAATTCAAGATCAGTGTCTTTGTGTGAGGAAGGTGTGGGTGCCACAGAGGGGGAATGTGTGATTATATGATCAACAATTTGATATACATGGGCATGAATTTTGAATAATCGGACCGTTATACTGCCCTTTTTCAGTAAGTGTAATTTTGATGAAGTTTGTAATATTGTGCACGGTTAAAGTAAGATGAATAAGAGTACACGTGAGAGGAGTGAGGGACTGAGGTTGAACCGTGGAATTATTGTTACTGGAGTGGGTGGGAGACGTGTTGTTACTTTCGTCTGCCATGAGTGAAGTGAGGGGAAAAAAGCCGTGATTGAGAAGGGGGAGGGAAGCGATTTAGAGGTTAAGGTTAAGGTGGAAGGGAGGCAGTAAGGTTTAGTGGGAGAGATCAGTGTCGAAGCTTACCAATACCATGATAGAGAGATAAATATTGGTAGTATATTTTTCATTGATATGGTTACCATATATATAAATCGAATGTATCCCTAATAATCCTAAACAAATTATCCAAATCATCCCTCTCACATGAGCACGAGTACCCAATAAATCAAAAAATTTATCTATTTATTATTGAGTAGGAAAAAGAGTTTCAAAGACCACAATTTCCACCGGGTCCCCCAAACATCATAGCATGTTGTAATATATTATCAACATAACCATAATAATTGGCATTATAACAATTAGGATTATCAGCATAAACTCTAACACTATCTTTAAGAGGGATATGATCATCTCTAAATCTATCCTTATAATAAAGCTTTGAAATATAGCTTGAATGGCGAGGATTTCTATCTGGAATGTGTCCAGAACCCATTTGAGGACTTGTCCCACCAACAAAAACCTTTGTATGACCGGTCCAACCAACTCTCATTGCAAAATTCAATTTATTAGAAAATAATGCTGCTGGAAAATATCCAACATCCATATCTTGTGCTTTTAGCCACCAATTTTTCGTATTTGGATCCTGAATCACAAAAAGAAATATTGCATGCTATCACTACGAATTATTTGTGTGAATTTCTACTAATTATTATATCACATCGCTTACCATACCTGTGTAAGATTAAGACTCATAGAATATTGTGCTCCACCATAGATAGATACATTCTTAACCGGTGCGCCAATAAAAATGCTTTGACTAGTTTGCACAAAACCAGGACATAACATATTGGTGCAGCCTGTGTGTTGGATACTATTTTCCTGCATTTATTAATCAAAATATCATATTCAAATTATTAAGAGATATAAAATAACACACACATAGTTTGCAAATCCTAACTCAACCGGTAAAATATCGATATTGATATATTAAACCCTAATATCAGAATTCGAACTCTAAATCTCACTACTTGAACTCGATATATAAAGTAAAACACATATATGTATATTTATTTCTTACCCATGATATGAAAAAATGAGTTAGGTTATCTCCTGACATACCTGGATATACCTGTGGTAGAGATTAGAGATTTTATAATTTATATTTTTTTGCCTAACTAATATAAATAAATATTATATTTAAAGGAAAACCTGCCATCCTGCATGTATAACCACATAGTTAGGCATGGAACTATTAATTACTCCAGAGGAAAGCCATATATAAGCAGAACTCATTTGATCGTCCCCAACAGGTGGATTATATACATTGATAGTTCCAACAATTCCAAAGAAAATTCTATGTTTCATAACCAATCCTGCAAACTAAAAACTCATAAAAAATTCAGTATAGCTATTATATCTTAGCTCACGTTTCCGTAAAATATTAGAAAATACGTTTTCATTTATTCCATATTTCTGTTGTAATATGAATCAGACTTCTGTATACTTTAACTTCTTGTATATTGCTCTCAGTAAATAAATTACACACACTTGGTCTTTTGTAGACTCAAACAAACTTTTACAATTCTAAAACAGTAAATTAAACAACATAACTGCTACATAACTACTAAAAGAAAACTATTGTCTTTCCTACTACCATAGTTAATACTAATCATTTATTTCTAACTCATTTAATGTTTTATTTCAACAAAACTCCTCCTTAAACATTAAATGCTTCTTCGATCCAGCATCCCAATCATCTTCCTGCCTCTTTCAAATACTTCTCTTGATAGTGGTTTTGTGAAGATGTCAGCTGCTTGGTCTCTGCTTGCCACATGCCTTAGTTCCACGCTTCCTTCTTTCACATGTTCACGAATGAAGTGAAATCGAACGTCTATATGTTTGCTTCGTTCATGATTGACTGGGTTCTTTGCCAGCTCAATAGCTGATTTGTTGTCCACGTGTATTATTGTTGGGCCTTCCTGTTTCAGCTCCATCTTACTTATCAACCTTCTGAGCCACAGTGCATGACAGACGCACCAGGATGCTGCCACGTATTCTGCTTCACACGTTGAAAGTGTCACTATAGGCTGCTTCTTCGATAGCCATGTAAAAGCTGTGTTTCCCATGAAAAACACATATCCTGCGGTGCTCTTTCGATCATCAATGTCTCCACACCAGTCACTGTCAGAATATCCAACTAGCTTGTAGTCTTCTTCTTTGAATAAAACATTCCAAGTGATACTGTTCCTTGGATGTATCTCAGAATTCGTTTCAGCGCTTTTCAATGTGTGTGAACTGGCTCCTCCATGAATCTGCTCACTATGCCAACACTAAGTGAAATATCTGTCCTTGTGCATGTGAGATATCGAAGGCTTCCTACCAAGCTTCGATATTTGCTTCCTTCGACCCGTTCTCCTCCATCAAACTTCGACAGCTTTGTGCCTGACTCCATTGGCGTCGAAATTGGATTGCAATTCTTCATTTTATACTTTTCTAGGATTTCCTTTGCATACTTTTCTTGTGATATGAAAATCCCAGCTTCTTCTTGTCGAACCTCCAGACCAAGAAAAAATCTCATCAGACCTAAGTCTGTCATTTCGAATTCTCTTGTCATGGTGCTTTTGAAGTCTTCGATCATCTTAACATTATTGCCTAGAAAAATAAGATCATCAACGTACAGAGCCACAAGTAATAAATCACTTCCATTTTTCTTTACATGGAGGGCTGGTTCATAAGGGCATTGCTCGAATCCACTCTCCTTAAAATATGTGTCAATGCGTGTGTTCCATGCCCTAGGTGCTTGCTTCAGCCCATACAATGATTTCTTCAGTTTCAGCACCTTCTTCTCTTCTCCAGTCTTCATATAACCAAGTGGTTATTCGACATAGATTTCTTCTTCGAGCACACCATTAAAAAATACTGTCTTGACATCCATTTGAAATATTTGCCATTTGAACTGAGCAGCTTGAGAGATGAGTAATCGAATTGTCTCCATTCTTGCAACAGGCGCGAACACTTCGTCATAGTCAATGCCAGCTTTCTGCTTGTATCCCTTTGCAACCAGCCGTGCCTTGTATCTTTCGATCTCTCCTTGAGCATTCATCTTTTTCTTAAATACCCACTTTACACCAATGGGTTGACTTCCTTTTGGTAATTCGACCAGCTCCCAAGTTTTGTTGTGTTCGATTGCTTTAATTTCTTCGTCCATGGCGCTTTTCCACTTCTGATCTCTTAACGCTTCTTCAACACTTATGTTTTCAGCATCTACTAGAAGACACATAAGATGCACCTCACTTGTTGAATTATACAGATCTTGCAAACTTCTCATTCTGGGTTGTAGAGGTTCATCTCTATCTTCTGTTTCTTCATGTTCTTCTGGAGTGTTTGTTGGTACAGCTATAGTTGTTTCTTCGACTGTATCAATAGCCTCTGTCGAACTGTTCCAGTCCCACTTGCTGGCTTCATTCATTCGAACGTCTCTGCTTATAATTACTTTCTTGCTTATAGGATTGAACAGCTTGTACCCTTTCGTCTTCTCATCATATCCAATGAATATGAACTTCTGACTTTTGTCTTCAAGCTTTGTTATTCGTTGGTCTGGTACATGCGCATAAGCTATGCTACCAAACACTTTGAGATGGGAGATTGTTGGCTTCTGTCCACTCCATGCTTCTTGTGGTGTTTTGTCTTCCAGCTTCGAATGTGGAAACCTATTCTGAATGTAAACAACACATTGTACTGCTTCTGCCCAGAACTCTTTCAGCATACTCTTGCTTTTAAGCATTGATCGAACCATGTCAAAGATAGTTCGATTCTTCCTTTCAGCCACACCATTTTGCTGAGGTGAATATGGCGCTGTTAGGAATCTTCTTATGCCTTGTTCTTCACAGTACTTCACAAAGGCAATCGAAGTATACTCTCCTCCTCTGTCTGATCGAATTGCTTTGATGTTTCTTTCTGTTGCCTTTTCCACCATTACTTTGAATTTCTTGAACACTTCTAGTGCTTCAGATTTCTCTTTCAGGAAGTAGACCCAGGTTTTTCTTGAGTAGTCATCAATGAAGGAAATGAAGTATCTTTTTCCACTGAAGGATTCTGGAGTAATTGGCCCACATATATCAGTATGTATCAATTCGAGTATCTATTTAGTTTGATACTCTGCCTTCTTCTGAAATGAAGTTCTTGTTTGCTTGCTGAGCACACATTCTTCACAGAATTTTCCTTCGAACTCCATGTCTGGCAATCCATGCACCATGTTCCTTTTCTCCAATCTTCTCAGACCAGCATGATGTAGGTGACCAAAGCGCATGTGCCACAGTGACGCTTTGTCTTGCACTTCGATCTGCAGACATTTCTCTCGAATGTTCCTCAAGTTAAGTTTGTACATTCGATTTCTCTCCATTTCGACAGCAGCAATCAGATATCCTGTTTTGTCCTTCAACTGCAGTGTTCGATCTTTCATCAGGATCGAAGCACTCTTTTTTGTGAGTTGTCCCAGACTTAATATGTTGGTCTTAAGGTATGGTACATAGTAGACATCTTCGATTGACCCAATCAAGCCATCCTTCTGCAAATAGCTGATTGTGCTCTTTCCTTCAACTCCCACCTTTTATGCATCTCCAAAAGACACACTGCCATCTTCAACTCCCTTCGTATCTTTAAACAGGTGTTTGTAACCACACATGTGATTACTTGCTCATGAGTCAAGATACCAAATACTGTCATTGGTGTTGATTTCGTTTTGGGCCATCAGGAGAAACCCTTTATTCGATTCAGCTTCCAGGGCCAGATTGGTTGTCTCTTCAGTCTTCTTTTTATTTCGACAGTCTTTTGCAAGATGTCCCACTTTGTCACAGTTGTAACATTTGTAGGAGTTGCAATCCTTCGCGTAATGGCCATACTTGCCACACTTGTAGCATTCGAAATTTAAATAATTTGAACGACCACCTCTTTGGCCACGTCCTCTACCACGCCAGTTTTATTGGCTCGAATTTCCTCTTTCGAAGTTACTGCCTCTACCACTTCGACCACTGTCACGTTCTCCACGTCCACGTCCTCTTCCTCGAAAGTTGTTCGAAAAGAGTACTTTTTCATCTTTCGATTCTTTTGTTTGGTTTGCTTCTTCTTCTGCCTCTTCTTTCTTCTTCATCTTTCTTTGTTCATGTGCTTCGAGCGAACCAGTGAGCTCTTCGATTGAGAGCGTCGAAAGGTCCTTCGATTCTTCTATTGCACACACAAGATTTTCAAACTTGTCTGTTAAAGATCTTAAGATCTTTTCAACAACTCTTGCATCAGCTACTGTCTCACCATTTCTTGTGAGTTGATTCACCACTTTCTGCACACGAGTGATGTAATCTGATACATTTTTTGTATCCTTCATTTGTATCCTCTCCAATTCGCCACGAAGCGTTTGGAGTCGAACCTGCTTCACTCTATCTGCTCCTTTGAACACCTTCTCTAACGTGTCTCACGCTTGTTTCGACGTAGTCGAACTAGCAATCTTCTCAAAGCCTGATTCATCCACAGTCCTGAACAACATATATAGTGTTGTTTTGTCCTTCGCTCGCGTCTCTTTCAACGCCTTCGTTTGGGCTGCTGTATATCCTCCAATTTCTGTTGGTTCTTCAAACCCATCATTGGTCACTTCCCACGCATCTAGAGATCCAAGAAGAACTTTCATTTGGATGCTCCAGTTTTCATAGTTTGACTTTGTTATCCGTGGTAACGGCATTTGGTTCATCATGTTCGCCATGAGCTCTGATGCCAAATTGTTGTAATATGAATCAGACTTTTGTATACTTTAACTTCTTGTATATTGCTCTTAGTAAATACATTACACACACTTGGTCTTTTGTAGACTCAAACAAACTTTTACAATTCTAAAACAGTAAATTAAACAACATAACTGCTACATAACTACTAAAAGAAAACTATTGTCTTTCCTACTACCATAGTTAATACTAATCATTTATTTCTAACTCATTTAATATTTTATTTCAACAATTTCGACAGATAAAATATATAAATCCGCAATTTTTATATATATATATATTAAGATCATAAATTTAATGCGTTAGAAATATCTCTTATACTATATGTAATAGATTTTTCTTGTAAAAAACAAAATCCTATAAAAAAACATACATGACTTCCACGGTCAAACTGAGCGAGGGTACCAAAATTATTTGCGCGAATGAGATCTTCTTTGGTTGTTCTCTGAATTGGAATTGTTCCATTAGGACATGAATCCTTCTCATTAAGTCCAAAATTTGAATATCTTGTTGATTTATCACGTTTCATTGCTTCAGGTTTTGTATCTTGAATACTAGATTTTAGCTGCAATTAAACCAAATAATAACAATAAAAATATCAAACAACACACTTTTTTTATATAAAATAATGGCAATGGATATTAATATAAAATAATTAATAAATTATTTCAACTGAGGATGAAGTACCTGTATTTTATGATTCCTTAGTTGAGGATGGTCAAAAGCTAGTTGTTTGTTAATATCAATACAATCAACTATTCTTCCATATTCTGTCTGCAGAAACCATGACCAAATAAAAATAATATATAAAGTTATTAAAATAGAATTTAAAATAGAAATGAAATAATATAAGATGAAACATTTTAATGAGAAATTTAAAATCAGTATACGTGAATAGTTTTGATAGGAGCTTTGTTGAGGGCTTTCAAATGTTCATCCAAAGCCAAATCTTCACTTTTATATAAATTTGGCATTGATCCATATACTTCATAGTTTTTGGTTGCAATACACAAGCTGAGTAACAAGATAATGACCATTTTTTTACAAGTGAAAAGTAAGTACTAATGGATCTGATCTCCCTTTATCTTTTTTTTCTTCTTCTTTCTTTTGGAACAAATGTATAACGAATTTATAGAGGCAGTGTTTAATGAAGATGGTATTGTTTTAAATAAAATAATATTTTTTTTTAATGGTCAAACAATATATAACTAAAAGAGAGAAATAGAGAGAAAGAAAAAACCACTAATATTAAAATAGTAAATCAACCACACAAGGAGTATAAAGGCAACAACAAAACATAAAATATACAAATAAACGGAACAAAGTAATACAAAAAGAAACAAAACCGTTTACAAACAGCCACAGTGCCTACAACAACCAAAGAAAAGGAGAAAAACAACAAACTACACACCAAGTCACACCACAACAAACCACCTAAATAGAACCAAGGTAAATCATTATAATTTAATATGAAACTTAGTAAAATTCCATAATTAAGCAATTTATTAAAAGAGATCATAATTGATTGACCAAATTTAATATAATATAGATGAAAAGAATACAAATTTTTAATAAGATTTTTCCCTTTCCAAATTTATCAATTTTCCATTATATAAAATTGTTTTATTCACATTTTATAAATTATATAGTTAATTAAATAAATTTTTTTTCAAAATTATATATGTCTTTATATGAAAAGTTATTAGTTTTTGAAGTACCATATTTTATTTCAAATTAACCATTAATTAAATATATTTTACCATTTTTATCATATTACAATCAAATAATTAAATTTCTATGAATAAAGTGGATAACATTATACATCATTTTTGTTATTTTAATCAATTAAGAAAATGTAGTCAATTGAAGAAAAGTATGAAGGTGTATTTTGATAATACGAAAAGATATATTATTTTCTGTCTAAATTACATAGATTAAATTTTTGATTCTTCAATTATCATGTCATATTTTATCTCTTTTTGTAGTTTTTGAATCATATTTCAGGTACTTAGCATTTGCAAGGCATAAATAAGAAAAGGAAGAAAAAGAATGAAAAAATGAAGAAATGATTTTAAAACAGCAAAAATGTAGTTCTGTAGCAAAGAAGCGTCTCGCCTGCCATAAAGTCGTTACGACTGACACAAGATAAGTTTCTGTGCACCTCGGCACATACACATTACGACTGACACATGCTTGAATTATGTGATCCACATCACGTACCACACCACGCTCGCCACGATCATCCAGGCAGTTACGAAGCTTTCGTCAACAGAGCGTACTCAGCGCATATTCCTGGATTTTCTCCACGCTTCAGTAACGTAAATAATGGGAAGTTACATATTTTTCCTCAACAAAAATAAACCCTATATATAGAAGCAGTTACCAACAATTAAAGGTCTCTCGTCACTCTCTCGTTTTGATCTTTCTCTGGCACTTTAGAATTACGCAGTATTATTGTTTTCAATTCCATTTACTCTGTTCAACAATTATTTTATGGTATTCTGTTGTAGTATTTTCCAGTATTGCTTTTCCACTTTTTGTAGTAATCCGTAAGCAATAAAACCTTACCGTTAAAAGCAGTATTTTTCCACCTCAGAGAAATACTGCAACACTAATTTGTTTTCAGACTTTCAGAATTTGCCTAGGATTTTTATAATTAGTCCGAGATATTTTTTTTACTACAAGTCAATCCTCCGACTTGTGGAGGATATGCAATATTCAGATCTTCCGCTTTGTATTCACATTCAGGTTCCTATTTTGTTAATCACAATTTATTTAATTCCTGTCATGCATGCACTGTTGAATCTACGCTTTCAATTTGTACTATTTTGCAATAATATTATGTCTGGCTAGATTCCCTATACCGGTATGTAAAACTTGACCAAAGTGTTCGGTAATTAATTGGAATTATTATTTTTACAAAAATACTTTTCTGGTTTTAATTTCCAATTGAATATTTAAATATTTTGGTACGGAAGTAAGAGACAGTCTAAGGTTAAAATCAATAGAGCGGAAGTTTGAGGTTTTAACCGGATAGTGATTATTGAAATATTAATTTTAAAAATAGCGAAAGCGCTTTAAAGTTAATTGGATCTTATTTGTTTTCAAAAAATACTTTTGAGTTTTAAATGAAACAGCATTAGCGCTCATTTCGAGCTTGACTGATATAATCTGATTCAATAGAACAGAAGTTTGAGATGAAGGTTTTTAAACAAATAGTTTCACTAAAACTGTGTTATAATACTAAAAACAAATGTCAATGACGTACTGAACCCCTTAAGTTAACGATATACATACCAGTGTCCCTCATTAATTATTAAATTCTAGTTAATTCCCGATTAAACCCAAACACCCAGATTTATAATTAGCCTTAGCTTTACATAGTAACCCTTAGATAACAGTAGTTTTAACCATTAGTCCTTGTGGGTTCGATATCTTTTAAAACTAGCGATAGGTTGTGCACTTGCAGCACTACACCAATAGACTCATAAAGTCGCGATCAAGTTTTTGGCGCCGTTGCCGGGGACTGAATTAGTTGAATATTGTAAATCCCTTGTTACGCATTATAGACTAAGGAAACTAATTTTATTTTAATTTTAACCGTCGATTGTATGCCAAGTACTCGCTCTAAAGACGAGGAATTAGAACAATCAATCGACGAAGTCGAGCGTTTTGTTAGCATAAGACACTGAATCAGAGAGTACCAAGCCAAGTAGAATCTTCCCGAAATCAATCTTCCTAAATTTTCTCTTCCTGACCCCAAAATGGCTGAAGGACCCCAAAATCATCCTCTAAAGGATTATGCTCCCCATCGCAAGAGGAACCTCACAACAGTATTGTTGCTCCCGCTATCCCACAAAATGATTTCGAGTTAAAGCCTTCGCTTTTGCAAGCTGTTCAACAAAACCAATTCTCAGGATGTCCTACGGACAATCCAAATCTTCATATATCCGTTTGTGCAGTACGCAAACACAGTGAAAGAAAATGGAGTCAGTCCTGAAGCGAGAAGACTCTGTCTTTTTCCTTTCTCATTAAGAGATAGAGCTAGAGCATGGCTCTAGTCTCTACCATCCAACTCCGTTACAACATGGAACAAATTGAAAAAAGTTTTCCTAGCGCGATATTTTCCACCAAGTAAGACAGCCATGCTAAGAGCCAATATCAACAGTTTTAAACAAAATGAAAGTGAATCTCTTTTCGAAGCATGGGAAAGATACAAAGACATGTTGTGACTCTGTCCGCATCATGGTCTAGAAGACTGGATGGTCATCTACACTTTTTACAATGGTCTCTTGTACAACACAAGACTAACAATTGATGCAGCTGCTGGTGGTGCACTGATGGATAAACCATACCATGATGCCTATCAACTTATCAAAAGTATGGCTCAAAATCATTATCAGTGGGGAAGCAATAGAACCATGATGGAGAAATCTCAAACGAAAGGAGGTATGCACGAAGTTAGCAGCTTAGACCAAGTTAATGCCAAGGTAGAAGCCCTTACCAAAAAGATAGAAAGCTTAACCACAAATCCCGCAACCACCGTGGCTGCAGTAACTCCAATATGTGATCTATGCGGACTTCACACGCATAACGCACCCGAATGTCCACTTTTAACAGGAGTGTCAGATTATCAAGTAAACTATGCTCAAGGAAACCCCTATGGAAATAACTATAACCCTTCTTGGAAGAACCATCTAAACTTTTCATACAAAAGCAATAACGCTTTGTAAACACCAGGGCAAGCTCCTACTACACCTCCAGGATTTCATAAATCCACCCAAAACGTCCCAAATATTCCAAATACCGCTAGGAAGTCCAACATTAAAATCACGATAGAAAACTTTATAGCCAACAAAGCTCAAACTAAAAAATATTTCATGAATCAAAATATTCACAACAGTGAACAGATTAAGAAATTGACTAATAAGATTGATACTCTTGCCACACACAACAAAATGTTGGAAACACAAATTTCCTAAGTGGCTCAATAGTACAGCTGCTCCAGCAGGAACTTTTCCTGGACAACTCCAACCAAATCCTAAGAGACACGCTAATTCCATAATACTATGGAGTGGGACAGAACTAAGCGGACCAACTGAACCTAAAATCGAAAACTCAGCCATGTACCAAAAACGTGGAAAAGGAATTGAGGAAGAAACTGAACTAAGGGAAGTAGAAAAAGAAGGTGACGAAGAGGCCGTAGAAAAAGAAGAACCTTATGTGCCTCCGCCGCCATATAAACCACCTATTACATATACTCAAAGACTCGCTGTTGTACCCCAAAATTTTCCCTCCCATATTTCTCAAGACCTGTCAAGAATAATCTTCAAATGGCTCAAGATTGCTCAAGAGTTGGACAGTCAAATCATCTCCTAAGGCAGTCAATTCAAAATTAGGGTTTTGTGTTGCATAAAGGTCCTTACATACAAATGACCTCAAGTGCTCCCCAATGTCCTAATATGTTCTCAAGTTCATCCATGTCAAATTTCAAGCCTTGCAGAGGAAGTTTGGTCAGTCAATTGCTCAAGAGGTCCAAAAATCGACTGTGCTAGGGCAAAAGTCAACTGTGACCCAAATACAGTCAAACCTCAAGGTTTTTTTGTCAACATTCTCATTTTGAAGGATAATTCATCATTTTATCAAGGGTTGATCATGATTCATCAAGGATTACTCAAGATTCATCAAGATTCAAAAGTTTCTAAATTAGGGTTTTATAGGAAAAGTCAACCCAACTTTGACCAGGCATAACTTTCTCATACTTTATGAGAAATGACCCATCCAAATATCATTTTGAAGAGGATGCAATTTCCTACAATCCATCTTCACACCCCAAGATCAAGAAATGCACTCACAAAAAGTTACAAATTTGGACATTATAGGTCATTTTTAAAAGTCAACAAAAACACCTTTTTTACAAAAGCTTATAACTTGAGCATGGAATATCAAAATGATATGATACCGAAAGGGTTGGTTATAGGACATCTCAAGGTTTCTAAAAAGTCCTAGAACACCTCCAAAAGTTCGAAATTGAAGA